GGCTACTCAAATATTTTACGTTTTTGATACTAAATTAACTTCTGAAGTATAATTTTTTATTGTTTTTATATTTTTCAATATATTTATTTTGTTTGTACAAAATAAAAAAATAATTTTTAATGATACAATAGTCTTCATTAGGCTTAACATCGACGAAAATTCAACAGAAAGTGACACGCAACAGAGAAAAATTTCAACACGAGATAAATTAATATATTTTTTCGTACATAATTGGTTATCCGAAAAATAAGTTATCCGAACAACCCCAGTCTCCAATTGATTCGGATAAACGACGCTCTACTGAAGTTAGAAAACAAAAGACGGACAATCTATTAAGTTTAATGTATTTAGATTTTTACAGCTATGATGAGAAATGCTTAAAATTTACAACAACCCTGTCGCGCCATTTGAGGTATACTAGTGATACGACAAAAGAGGCATTTGACATTAACCGGTATCAGCACCCTCGGGATTTGGCACACATGCACGCACTGCACACCTACCAAGATCGTCTCTGATTCCATCCACGAGTCACTGATAGGAGTACTTTTAACTAAGTGGATTGTTTTAATATTTAAAAAGTAAAGAATATCTTATGCTATTTTTATGTACGTTTCTTCACAAAACCATATTCATACAATCAAATATTTTGTACCAGGTATGTATAATTGTATATTGATCACACATTTTATTTTAACAAGCAAGTTTTTATAATTTTATTTTTACTTTTAGTCCTTATGGCTAGCAATTTAGAATGTAATTGTAATAGTGAAAATTTATTTTAAAAAGTTTTGACTCAAGACCATATAATGAAAAAAAAAACATTATTAAAAGAAAAAGACCAATGCCTAAATTAAATATAAATATGTCAACAAAAAAATTTGTTGGACATTTTCCTGATAAAATTTATGAAGACGTAAAATGGATTTGTGGATGCATAAAAATGCAAAAATTGTTTTGTTGCCTTGCCTACTAATTTCAAATAAAATTAGTGTGGAATAAGAATGGCTTTGACGATTTAAATAATTTGAGTAAAGCTGGCAAAAAAACACAAAAATCGTAAATCTCCAATTCTTTCGTAAAATTGAAGTAATTTGGAAATCAAAATAGAATAAAATTTAACATTAGTACAATATAAAATAAATATTGAAAATTATAACAAGATAGTTACGGCTAATAGATATATTATACTGTATTTTAATTAGTAGATGTTATCGAAGCAAGAATTGGCATTTAGAGGGCATAGGGAATCTATTGAATCTAATATAACAGAGGTAATTATATTGAACTTGCTTATTTATTAAGTGTATTAGATAATCTATTAATTTAAAATACATTTAGAAGTCTACGGTTTTTACTGGCTTATCAAACAAACAAATACAAATGGGACCCTATACCATCACTGACCGATTGCCCCTGGAAGTTGGCTTCTTACAAAAACACAGCTTCTCTATCATCAAATGTCATGGCATGCCACTGTTGAAAAATAATTTACATTTTCTGGACAGAGGATAAGCCCTTGTGAATGTCCATACAGACTGGAATTTTTCAAAATATCATAAGAATCAATAANTGATAGTAGTACTTTTAACTAAGTGGATTGTTTTAATATTTAAAAAGTAAAGAATATCTTATGCTATTTTTATGTACGTTTCTTCACAAAACCATATTCATACAATCAAATATTTTGTACCAGGTATGTATAATTGTATATTGATCCCACATTTTATTTTAACAAGTAAGTTTTTATAATTTTATTTTTAAGTTTAGTCCTTATGGCTAGCAATTTAGAATGTAATTGGGATAGTGAAAATTTATTTTAAAACAGTTTTGGCTCAAGACCATATAATGAAAAAGAAAACATTATTAAAAGAGAAAGACCAATGCCTAAATTAAATATAAATATGTTAACAAAAAAATTTGTTGGACATTTTCCTGATAAAATTTATGAAGACGTAAAATGGATTTGTGGATGCATAAAAATGCAAAAATTGTTTTGTTGCCTTGCCTACTAATTTCAAATAAAATTAGTGTGGAATAAGAATGGCTTTGACGATTTAAATAATTTGAGTAAAGCTGGCAAAAAAACACAAAAATCGTAAATCTCCAATTCTTTCGTAAAATTGAAGTAATTTGGAAATCAAAATAGAATAAAATTTAACATTAGTACAATATAAAATAAATATTGAAAATTATAACAAGATAGTTACAGCTAATAGATATATTATATTTTAATTAGTAGATGTTATCGAAGCAAGAATTGGCATTTAGAGGGCATAGGGAGTCTATTGAATCTAATATAACAGAGGTAATTATATTGAACTTGCTTATTTATTAAGTGCATTAGATAATCTATTAATTTAAAATACATTTACTGTGGTTTTACTGGCTTATCGAACAAACGAATACGAATGGGACCCTAGACCATCACTGACTGATTGCCCCTGGAAGTCAGCTTCTTACAAAAACACAGCTTCTCTATCATCAAATGTCATGGCACGCCACTGTTGAAAAATAATTTATATTTTCTGGACAGAGGATAAGCCCTTGTGAATGTCCATACAGACTGTGATTTTTCAAAATATCATAAGAACCAATAATAATTATGTCATAATATTTTGCAATTTGTTTCTTTTTACTTTCATTTTAAAAAGTGAAGAAAAAAATATTTAAAAAATTAAACAGAATAATAATTAAAAAGAAAAACATGTTTTTAAAATTAGAATAAAATGTCCTTTTTTAAATTTAAAAGAAGTCAACACAACTGGAATAAAAAAAAATATTTTATTCAGTACTTATTTTGAGGCTGACACAAACTTTACTTATATTTTTGACCTAGAATTATCATCATTTATTAAATGTAAATCTTAATTGACTGATAATTAAGTACACAGCCATTTTACAAAACATCAAAATGCTAAACAATGTGCTCCACTTAGCAATGGAAATGATAACTTATTCCATTAAATGTACTTCCTACATTGATTATAGATGAGTCTAAGCCATCCAGTTCCATCAAACAACATGTAAAACTATGAACAAGTGAGACTCATTCTTCATCATTTAGGAGGAAATATGGCTTGACAAGCAGGACTCATCCATAGACCATTAAATGTTGACAATACTACATAATATATAAAAAAATCTCAAAACAGAATTTATAATAAAACGAAATGTTAGCTTTACTTTAAACACTTTTTTATGCTCAAAAATCAAATAAATGGATTATTTATGAGCAATAGTTTAGTTTTATATAATTGAACACTACATAAAAACAGTTTAATTTTCTAATCTCAAAAAAATAAATAAATAAATAAAAAATAAAAAAATTTAGTTACATTTTTACATTACATAAATTTAAAATTTTTAATTAATAAAATTATTTTTACCTTATATAAAAATAGTATTAC